AATCTCACGTTAGTTGTTAAAATAAAACTCACAATAATTCGAGATAAAATAATTAACTTCAACTCTAAGACCCAAGAATAATCATTCAAAGAAAAAGTATAATTTATGAAGGAAAATCCTAAAACCCCTGAATTTAAGATTTAACTAAAAAAAGTCTCCTACACTGGTCGAGAACTTAAATTATCTTAATCCAATGAAATTAAGTTTAATTCTAATTTAGCAAAAAATTAGAATTTCAAAGTTAGAAGATCCAAGAATTAAAGTTATCAGCTTAGGAAAAATCCAAAGACACTGTTTATCTCTTAGAATAAACGATTCAGAGAACGCGGGACGTTACAATTAACCTAGTCCATAATAATCATAATATATATATATATAAATTTGTGAAAAGTAATTTTAAATCTTCATATTAGCCTCTGATTTATATAATATAATATCGATAAAAATAATTTACTGATTTTGCAAATTTACAAAGGTACTTAAATAATTTACTGATTTTGCAAATTTACAAAAAAACTAGAGAAAACACATAGCACTAGTTTTCACAATTTTAAACCGTGGGTAAAACTAATCATAAAAATCAATTTTAATGCATTCAAATACATTTTAGGTTAGTTTAAAGGTGCTAGTCATGGTCTCAAAAATTCAGAATTAACAATCCAAAATTTGATACTAAACAAGCTAAAACTATGAAAAAACATAAACCGTTAAAAACCGTTATGAAGCAATTTTATGAACATTTTTAGGACCTTTTAAATTCAGATTTTCAGATCTCAAATCAACAAAAATAAGGCCTAAACAGTACCTATTTTATCTTAATAATGAACCCTTAAAATAATTTACACAAGGAAGAATGATGCTTACCGTTGGTGCGTTTTCCTCTCTACCGTAAAGAATAAAAAGAGAAAATTTCCAGCAACTAAGAGAGCTTGAAATGATGATGGAAACCTTAGAAAATGGATATGAACATGCTTAGGTTCTATAAAAATTATTAGGAAAAATCTACTTGCAAAACTAGACTAAAAGAAACCGTTCTTACCGAAAAGACAAAACCGCAATGAACTATCCTTGAAGGGACTTGGAAAAGCAACCACAACTCCTCTAAGGTGTGATTTAAAACATAGGATAGATGATTGAGAGGAAATTTTCAGATTTGTTTAGAAATGTTCTTGGAGGAAAATGAATGAAACAAACATAGGTAACCTAAGGAGAATGACTTGGAAGATGAAACAAACATGAATCTTGGAAGATGAAACAAACTTCTTCTCTCTCCTCATGCATGGCCAATTACTTAATGGGATTGTTAGTGTTTTTTGGTCTTCCTAACTAACTTAATTACTACATGTGTCTCTTGGGTGGAAGGTGGGTTATATTGCCTAATCATGGTTAGTGGAAGGTGAGTTATATTGCCTAATCATGGTTATGAGTTAGGCAAAACTTTCTATATTCCCTCAATTAAGTTAATTTATTTAAGGTAGAAAAAAATAAAGAGTAAAATAAAGGTAATGGGAGCTTTACTTGATTAATTACGTTATAATAAAACTTTGGGTAAAATGTGTGAAACTTTATAAATACTCAACTAATTCTACCATTACAATTACCATAACTCACAATATTTATCTAATTACTAAAGTACTATTGCTAATTTTGTTACATAAATACAATTATCAACTTGCTAATCTTATCAGATTTGACTAGCTTAGCTGAAATACAATAATAATATAAAGTCACGAAAATACTGTTAAAGGTAATGCAGGGCATTACAGATTAATAAGAAATCAAATTTAAATAAAAAATAAATAATATAAACTAAATTATTTTATATTAGCACTCTAAATTTTAAATTAACATTTTAGCTATATTGACAATTTAGCACAATAATCAATTGAATAATTAGTATTAAATGTTATTGAATTAAAATTCAATATATAAATATAAAATGATATATTTGTATAAAGCATTAAAATCAATCCAAATTAATTCTCAATAATTAATTTATCTTTATTAAGTTAAAATAATTATTATTTTAAGCAATTATGTTTTAATTTAAGTTTCACTCTTTAATAAATATATTATAAATAATATATCTAAATTTATGTTGTTGATTTTATTTAGCAATCAATCTTAATAATTATCCTCTCATATGTTTAACAAAATTAATCATTTTCATCTCATTAACTGCGTCAATTAATTACATTTTTATAAAAAATTTAAATATACTTTATTAAATTAATTTATTACAATAGAATAATTAATTTAGTACATTGGTAAAATTTTAATGTTGTTTTATTAATTATAAATTTAATTTAAATATTTAAACTAGTTTTAATTAATTAATTTGAATAAAATAAAGTAAATAATTACATTAAAAGAAATTTATTTAAAAGAAGAAGGATAAGAGTCTGTCACAAACCCATGAATCTGGAAGGGGAAAGAAAGCCCTTATCCATGAGAATAAGGGATGCCTCGATTTCAAATCTTTGTAACAAAGAAGGGTTTTACTTGCCCATGCCCATTCCCATCCAAAAAACCCCCACCAATGGCGGAAGGTTTTAATACCAAAACTGCCAGGGAATAAGATGCCTGAGAATTAGGGGTGAAAGAAACCGAATCGATCCGAACCGAACGGGTTCGAGTCGGTTCGGTTTAAATAAAATGACAATCGAACCGAAATCCAACTGAACCGAAGTTAGTTGGTTCGGTTCGGTTTAAATTGACATTAGGGTTTCATTTATAAGTTATAACCCACACCTCCCTTCTCCTCACGACTTCATAACCCAATGTCGCCTCCAGGCATGCGCTTCCCTCCTCTCTCTCTCTTTGAACGACCTCGATGATAACCCTTTCTATCAGCGATGACCCTGTCCATCGGCGGCAACACACGACTTTAGATCGCCCTCTCTCTATGAGCGACCCATCGGCGGTGACCCTCTCTACCGGAGATCATAGTCGAGGAAGGAGGCAACGACGGCCCTCTCTATCTGAGGTTGTCGTCGAGGATAGAGGCGGCGTCGAGCTTGTGTTGGAGGTCTTTGGGAGCTTTTCAGTTGGCAGATTTGAGATGGGAGATGGAATCATAGGCTGTTGCTGCTGAGTTGGGGGTTTTTGAGCAACACTCAAATGAATCTCTCTTTCCCTGTTTATTTTGAAAAAAAGAAAAAAGTGAAAAACAAAACAAAGTGGGGTTCTGATTTTTAGAGAGATTAAGAAAAGGAAAAAAATGTCTTAAGAGAGAAGAAGAGGTTTTTGGTAATATCTTAAGGGAGAAGAAGAGGTTTTTGGTAAGATGAAAACTAGAAGTTCCATAAAAAAGAGATTTTGGGTTTGATCTACTGCCGGGGAAATTGACTCAAATGACCTTCAAAAGTTTGTGGAATGCTCGAATGACCCACCCCTTTTAAATGTGTCCAAATGACCCACTGGAATTTTTAATTAATTTTAAAAGGTAGCAAAATTACAGTACTACCCTTTTGTTCAGAAAACCAAACCATTTGCTTTACCTTTCCCCCTTCCTCGCCGTTTTCAGCCCAAATTCGTCTTCTCGATTTTTCTTCGCAGTCCCTTCGAATTTCTTCTTAATTTTTGTTTCTCTTGGCGATTGGCTTTGATTTTATGTGTATTGAGGAATTGAATGGTTGTTTATTTGCGTTGATTCATTTTTTCGAGGTTTAGATGAACGAATACATGTATAATATTGCATCAATTTAGGTTTTTTTCTGTTGATTTTGTTTTCTGGTGTTCTTCTTTGTTTCGTTCCCTGTTTTTCTTCGATTTTTCAGTTATGTTGGAATTGAGGTCTGTGGCTGCGGGAGTTTGATTTGAAATGTTTGAAGTGGTGTGGAGGGAGGTTGAAGATGAAGAAATATTTTCGATGAAGCGAGATGGACCTCGAGCGAGGTTGAAGAGATTTGAAACGTCGCTCAAGGTTTAGTAAGCCTCTGTCATTTTTCTCGGGTTCGCCTCGGGCGAGGTTGAGCCCGAGGTAATTAAAAGAGGCTGAACCTCGAGAAACCTCACTCGAGGTTGAGCCTCTTTCAATTACCTCGNGCCTCTTTCAATTACCTCGGGCTCAACCTCGCTCGAGATCGAACCCGAGAAAAATGACAGAGGCTTAGAAACCTCGAGGTTGCGTCAACTTTTTCTATCACCAACCGTTGACCTCGGGCGAAACCTCGCCCGAGGTTCATCGTTTCTTATGAAACTCGGTCAGGAAACAATAACTCCCGCCCGAGGTTCATAGTCAACTTTAGTAGAATCATGCTGAAATACGAAACTAAATTTAAAAATGACAACATGTTTCAAAATCAT